TAGAAAAGTGATCGGGGGGGGGATTTTCTAAGAGGCAATATTTTTTTTGTACACTTATAGAAGAAATTTTTTTTTCTCTCTTGATGGCTGGAAATATATTTTTTTTATTAAAATTTATAGGCCTATCTTCCAAGAAAGGAATTTTTTTGGCACTCTGCCTGGGAAGATTTTTTCCTCTAATTTTTTCCTGGGAATAAATTCTTTTTTGGCCCCCCCCCCCATCAGTTTTCTAACGGTCCGTCCCTAAGGTCGTCCTTTCAATGAAGTGGAATCTCACAATCAGGTCCGTTGCACAAGAGTTCATCATATCGCTGAACTGAAGAATTCCTACAGGTCATAAAAGAGATCCACTGAAGAATTCCTGTTAATACCCATGAAGAGAGACCCTGGAAGAATTTCAATTTTTATATTTGACCCCTGAGAAAATCTCATTCAAAATATCCATTACCGGATTACCCCCAAAGAATTCCACACAGAAAATATTTGCTTATCCCTGAGGAATTCCAAAGCTAAAAATTTATCACCTCATTCCAGCAGAATTGAAAGCTGGAATAGCCCATTTTATGCTGGCACTGTGGCACAAGTGTTCATACTTGGGCCTTGGGCTATAATAACCCCTTATTCATATTTGAGGATAAATACAGATTTGTATATTTTTATTTTAACTTGTTTATAACAAATTTTAAAACACAAAAATTGTTTATCAGACAGTTAAGGACTAAGGAGTCGTTTGTGAATTAACCCATTGAGTGACAGCACTCTCTCCCTGATGAGTAAAATCCTTGGCATTAAACACAGTAAAATAATAAAGTAGGTCACATGAGGGTACATTGCCACTTAAAGGGTTATATTGATTAGGGCGCATATATTGATTATTGGTGCAGAATTTAGCTTTTTGCACCTAACTGATGCATGCGATAGACAGTGGTTATATTTCACCTCAGGGCCGTAGCAACCAGGGGGGGGGGTGCTGTTTGAAAACTAAATTAAAAAATTTCCTCGGGCCTTTGGCCATTGCTTTCAGTTCCCCAATCAAAAAGAGCTTCCCACAGCACTGCACTCCCTGAGCTATTGGCATTAAAATTTTACATAACTTTATATTAGCAGTCAGTGGTGTAGAACTGAATCGCTAACAAAGAGGGCCCTCAAAGAGGGGGGGGTGACAAGACGTGGGGTAACCATGCATTGAGGGTGCAACATGGTAAATATAAATAGTTCCAGTATTCGCTTTTGGTTCTAGCAATTCTTCAATTGGTGATTTTTAACTAAAGGGCTTAATTAACATCAAATAATACACTCCAAAATATTGAAGCTATTACATGTTAGAGCCACATAAATATCATCAAATGGTTAGATCATAGTAAGGTACTGATTACTGCTAGATTATAAATTTTGCAATCAGCAAAAATATTGCGAGGTTAATCTTCCCAAGTTGACATTAAATTTTTAGGGGGGGACCTCTGTTTGCAATCTATTAAATAAGCAAATAAGATACAAGTAAAAATCATGAATACATGATGCAGTTTACAACAAGAACATGGGAGTTTTTAAGCTAATAGTTCAGTCCTATAACCAGAATAATAAGTGGACCTTATGTAATGTTAACATAATACAGCCAATGGCTGCAAGGTTTATCAATTAAAAACATCTATCTATCTAAGGAATACCAATCCAAGATTGTGTGTCACGTACCTCGTGCGTCACTTCAAAACAGCCAACATTTGAGCCTTCTTGAAAATAGAGCTAGCATGCAAATATGACAGTTCCAATACATGTAAACAAATACGATTTTTATGCAGACTATTGGAGCAACCAAGACTATAAGCCATATTAAAGCGTATATAGATGTAAAACTTCACAAAACAAAAATATAAACGTTCAGAAATAATGGTACGACGAATAAATAACACAGTTTAATATTGTCAGTTAATCCACCTCGGAATATACTCCACTCCTCGATAGTGAAACGTCGACATAATTTTGTATATTCTTGATGGATTTCTTTCAAAAAGCCCCCAGAAGAACAAGCGTGATTGAAAGAACAATTTGACGTTCACTTTATACACTTACGAAGACTTTAAGACCGTCAAAATAGCGAAAATATATGCACGTATTGCTTCGTATATAGATCAGTGGGAATTTCCATTTTGCGACTATCCATGGAGAAGGAGACGGAGCAACCTCGTCCCCAGGGTCTTCTTCGTGCATGGCGCGTGAAAAATGAGAAGACCCTGGTAAAGGCTGTGAAAATCTCCACGATTCATGGACATTTTAGTGCATGCGCAAAAGCGAATTTGCCTTGGCGCTGACCAATTCATTGCTGGCGTCCAAATTTTTCATGGCCTTCTTGAGATGAAATATTTCAGTTTGGAAATGTATTTTTTTGCTAAAATATACCTCTAGATAAGTAATTTCTCTTCAAAAATTAAGATGTCTAGAGAGAGAAAATAACAAGAAGCTAGCACGTCTAATTTTTATCTTCCTGGCCGAAGAATTCGCGTTGTTTGTCATGTCTCACGGCTGCTTGCACTGGCAGTCTGACAACACTGTCACTGTGAAGGTAATTGAAAAACTACAATATATTATTGTTATTTATATTATAATTCAACATATAATGGCCCAATGACTGGTGCTAATATGCCTACAAAGTATTTTTTAAAGCGCTTAGTTTTGAGAAATTATAATTTGATAATGAAAATTTACTAGTGGGCCATAGACTCATATCCATTTTACACTGTGAACGTTGGCACTTGTTTAAGTTATTTTGACTAAAAATTATCGCATGTTAATAAATACTCTAGTATATAATAATACTGTAATTTATAGTTTATTCCCTTGGAGCATGCAAAGTGCATACATGTGGAATAATTTGCCTTAGATCCACAGCTCTCATACAGATTAGAACTCCCATAAATTCTTTACACATCCTAGTACATTTTACCATTCTAAAAGTGCATTTCCCCATCCCCTTTCAGACAGCAGAAATTTCATTTGTATTGTGAGTTTATATTGTGCACTGAATGGTGAATCAGTAAAACTAAAAGATTGCCAACCAGTTTAGAGATAGTTTTGTTCAAATGTAACTTATGTAAGTATGTTTCTCCCTCAATTAGAAATAAATCTACTGTTAATAAATTAATTGGATAGATTTAGTGTAACATATAGATTTAGGTTTCCAGTTTGTGAAATGAAATGCAAATCAATTGTATTATATTTTAGATATTCATGCTTCTCAAACTTCAATATGGATAAAACAAGAACTGTCAAGAAGACTGCAACTGTATATGTACAACTTAATGGGGATGGGAATGCTGTTAGTCTTCGCATCTAGGAATGTTGCTAATATGAGATTATTAAGAAAACCGCAAAGTCAACAACTATCCTAGATTCCATAATATTAGGAAGCTGGCTCAACTATACTTAATATTCTGGTAATACTCAAGAAAGTGACATGGCAATTCAACAATGCATATACAACAGAACAAGATATTTCCATACCAAGACAATTCTTACTGAATTAGTATTTAGCTGATATTTCATTTTTTACAGTATTTAAAGTTATATACAGTGCTGTTTTAAGTTAAATAACAAAGTTACTTGGTTCAAAATCTGGTCTTTGTTTTTCCTTCTCTGTACTGTGCAAGGGTAAAGAAAAGAGGTGGTAATATGCATCCTCACATGCGGCTGATAGGAACTCTCACTCATATGGAAAATGAATTGGGTCGTTCCAGAAAAGATCCATACTCCCCCCATGGAGGAAATTTCTGCCGTCTGTAGGGGGAGGGGAGAAAAAATTGTTTCTGATAATAGTAAATGTATTAGGACATCTGAAGGGGGTTAACTTCCTATTTCCTCTGTGGGGGTGGTATGGATGTTTTCTGGAATGACCCATTCTCATAAAGTAAGCCTTGGAGCTTTTTTGAAATCGATTTCATTCATGCTTCAACAACCGATCTCCTGCATGTACATCATTGCAAAATGTGCAGCCAGCCTGCAATGTCCAAACCACAGTTGTCCACAACATTTGTTCTCATTGAGCTGTCCATTGATGAGGAAGTGTAGTGTGGAGACAAACAATTTTGATTTGGCTGCATTTATTTAAACACTTGCTTTATTATACCTCCCTCACTGATTCAATAGTTGCTAATGTAAATTTGTACTAGCTCTGCAGGACAGATGTGTTCAATTTTTCCTATATGGTATGGAATAAAGATCATGCTGTTAGTGTTACATGCATGCAAATGGTAATTCACAATGATGTAAAGGCTAATGAAATTCAATTATGGGTTGTCCATAACTACCAACATTTCCTGAAGTGTACAAACTATATGCTTCAGGTAGGCGGGTTCATAACCAATATTCATCGGTTAAGTCGCTGTGGGAGGGGGTTGAAAAGTGTACTCTCTGTACACCTGTGATAATTATGGATGATTTACAGTGTAACACTAATGCTAGATTTAACTGAAAATAATTTTATAGTTATGTTGAATATATTTTAAATGTTCCATTTGTGGCATCCATTCTTGGTGGTCAGTGGCACCATTCTTGTGGAAAATTCAAGTAGCTGTGCTCCAGCAGTTGGCTGCAGTGGCACAAATTATTGACATAACCAAAATTTTAATATTGCATAGGATCTTAGATTCGTTTTTATTCTTTCCTGGTGTCCTATGAGCCCAGCAAGAACTGCTTATTTTATTATTATAATTTTTAAACATGTAACAATTAAGCTATACAAACAGCAATCGTTCTGTGCCTCTATTTCTGCTATAAAAATGCATATTCATCTGAGACTGATATTAAACTGTCACATGAAGCAGACAAGAGGTTTTCGTACTAGTTAAACAAGTGGTAGTATTTGAGAGGAACTAAACGTCACAAACGCAAATGGTTCTGTGGTTTGTTTGATCATACAGTGTGTGTATATATTCATACCTTCGATAACGATGTGAACATAAGCTGTCTCAACTTTGAAGTACCAAAATGATGTCTATATTCACACTACGATTTCCATTATATATTGTGCCTGATATTAGGCTGAAAGTTGGAAAATATTTGCCAGAAACGAGCTTCGCGCCTTGGCGAAGCATGCATTTTACTACAAACAAATTGTTGTGAAAATCCTTGTAAATCATGCAACCAATCGTAGGGCTCATTACAAGAATTATTTAGCGGTAAACCAATCATATTCATTATAACAACATCCTCAAAGCACATTCAAGGTCAAATGTATAAACCAATCACAACGCAGTTTAGAACAGCCTTTACCAGGGTCTTCTCATTTTTCACGCGCCATGCACGAAGAAGACCCTGGGGACGAGGTTGGAGACGGAGAAGGAGACCAAATTCACCCGAAACCTATAGTTGCTGGCACAGGTGCCCCAGCAACTAATACGATTTTCTCTTCCTTTTGTTTTTTTTTCTCTTTTTTGAATAGATATAAGCAAGGTACTAGTAATAGTGAATTTTAATACTTATTTATATATGAACAATTTCTGACCTTCAAGTTATAAGTTTTAATTAAAATTAATCGGAAATGGAAATATATTATTTATTTATTAAGCTAGCTGCCTCGTCTAACGTAATGGTTACTGCTGCTACTTGCACCTAATTCAGGATCTGAATATTTAATGTAAGTAATATAATTAAAATTATGGTGCTCAATAAAAATTGATTGATTGATTGATTGAAAGTTATCAAGCACTTCCATCACCCCATCCTGTGCCAATAATCACAGTTGAGGAGGCTTTTTTAGGAATTCGTCCCTGGGGGGGGGGGGGGCATCTACTAAAAAGGGATCATACTATACTGAGTGTGGACAGATAAAAGATTGTAACAAAAAGTCAACCACTCGCAAAAACTGTTTCAAAACATGTAACTAGGAATTATGAATAGTCAATATATAATAACCTTTAAATTAAATTATCTCGCATTCCAGGCAGCAAAGAATATGAGGTTCTTCTACTCTAATCTCTTTTGGGGGCTTTGCTCGCCCCAACTTTACCTTCTGTTCCATGACCCCTACGCACTGTAAGTGATTCTGGATGCTCAATGACAGCATTTCTGGCATTTTCTGGAGAATCCATAAGGAAAATGAGTATATGAGAAGACTGTTTTAATTAAGGTTATATTTTTGTTAATTTTGTGACTGCACATTTGTGTTTTAAGAACTACACAAATGGATTTAGAACTGCACATTTTGTGTAGAACTGCACGTTAAAATAAACCCTGAATTAAGTCGTAGTAGTGTTTCTTCGTCCGATCTCCTTGTTATTTACTTTTCTCTGTGGATGACAATCCTTGAATACGCTTGTCCTGTCTGGCATACTAACCTACCACAATATCTGTCAGACAACGTTGAACTCGTCCAAAAAATACCTATGCGCATAATCTACCCTGGATGCCATTACAAAGAAGCTTTAAGTATCACACAATGTCTCCTTTTGGAAGATAGGAGACAAACTCTATCCAAAAACCCAGTTCTTATCTTCAATATCTATTACCTCCAACCCGAGAAGACATACATGGACGTCGTTTACGTAATAATATGAACTATTCTATACCTAAGCTAGGTGTTGGACAGACAGTTACAAAAATAGTTTAATACGTGCAATGTGTTTTTCAGTAACATACTGTAATTTTAAATATTTGAATGTAATTAATTTAAATGTCTCAACGTATATTCGTAATTTTTATAAATATTTTACCAATGTAAACACATTGTAATTCATTGTCATGGTGCGACAATGTGATAATAAAACACTATATTATTATTATTATTATCATTATTATTACATGATATCTTGGAGTGAATTGGGTGGCAACAGACAATCATGATTTTACACAACGGTAAGGAATTGGATGCTTTCAGTTTCACCTGTCTTAGGCATATCTGTCGAATTGTCGACAGTACATTCTCTTAACTGTACACGTTCATTTGCGGTTAGAACACTGTCATAAGTCATGTTTGCATTTCTTAAGGCTAACAACTGTATCAAAATACCAAGACAAGCTGCACAGGCGAAACATCCTCCTGTGATAAAAAATGCCAAGTGATATGATCGAGTCAAGTCGAATATCCACGCTGAAAAAAAAGAAAAATCATCTTTCGTTATAGAATGTAAAATTTGACGTGAAAACTAACAGAACCTCTGCATGCATCATCGATCATAGACAGAATTATAGCTATCCAATTCAGAGACTAAGATGTTTATATTTACACTACGGTTGACGTTTGAAGACGTGACAAGCGCGTTATTACGAACTACAATCTTGCCCAAAAGTTAGTAGAATGACTGAATGCTTGTGCAAATTTTTCCTCTTAAATAATTATTGTTACATTTTATAAGGATGACGACTCCCCCCGCGTCCCCCAGGCGAAAACGTCCCTGACATGGACAATGGAAACATTTCCCTTCCGGAAAGGACTTTTTTTCAACAAACTATTGTGTAGGCAAACCAGAATATTTGAGGATTTTGAGATGTTTCCACAACATCTTTTTGGAGGGTGATCAAGCAACGAAGCAGGAAGACTTACTAATGTTCTCTTCTGGTTTGCCCAGGGCTTAAGAATAATAGTCTACGGTTTACCTGCTACACCTGGACCAACTCCGCCCGATATACTGAGAGCTCCAAATAGATAAGTCACCGCATACTTTGAATCATCTGGATGGGTGAGCTTAGGAGTTATAATTATAAAACATAAACTTTGAACTCCCATGGCATAACCATAGAAGGCAGAAAACGTTAAGACATGAGTTACAGTTTTCGCCAAAGGTAGTAAAGCCATGGACACCGCAAGTGTTAGTAATGATAAGATGTTATATGTATGCGCATTCCAGTTGAGTATATCCATCAGTTTTCCTGAGACGACTTTGGCAGCAGTTTCCATGCCACACATTAAAGTGATGTTGTATACACTTATGTACGTTGGTATCCCGATATCTTGACAGAATGATATCTAGAAGATTTTTCAATAGGTTAGGACAGGGAGACAGATAGACAGTTGGTAGTCTAGTACTGTTACTCACAGGAATCTGTGTTTGGTGCAGTTAAACTCACATACAAACGAGGTTGCTCACATACAACTGAGGCGAATTTATGATCATATAATTTATATCTAGAATATTAAATTAACAATTACTTTTCTGGGGAGATTTGGTCCAAATAACTGATTCTGTCAAAGCATAATTGTGCCCAAACATGCAATTACCATTTAGCCACAAACAAATGTGTCTGATGGTTCTAAAGTGTGGTTCTAAGAAAATGCAGGTTAAGAGCAGGGGAGTGCTGCGGGCGCAAGGGAACAGGGAGTCCAGCCAAACGTCTGTTACTCGGGCTATGTTCTAACTGGAACTCTAGCCAGAACAGTATAGAACTAATCCAGATGTATAAATAAAGTTAGTTTAGGATCCCTTCTGTTCATATTAATATTGGAGAGATAAAGGATGTCTTTCACCAACAAGGTGAAAGTAGCAATATCACAGGAATAGTCCTCAACCACTTCACCCAGGGACATGACTCACTCTTGGGTGGGGTGAGGTGGGGGGAGGGTGACATCTCCAATGTGTGAGAGGGAATTTTATAGGGAAAGTTAAGCAAATACTCACGTAATTAGTCGGGCAAAAATACGTTCCAATAATCATTGCTAATCTAATATACATCGTTTCTAACCATTATAATTATGCAGAATCTTATCCCAAAATGTAGTAAATGGCGTTTCAGCGTTACCGATGGGGATCCTCGTATCTTTTGTTTTTCCCAGCCCCTGTACATGATTTTCTGACAAAACACTTTCGTCGAAAAAACCCACACCCTCTAATGTTTATGCCCAGGTTGCACTAACTAAAATTGAGGATGATAGTATGGAAATCGACCCAACTAAAACTGTAGCGACTGTTTCTCCTTTGATATGCAAACGACGGTACGTCATTACAGCTAATTACACTATTCACTTACTAAATGGACCATCGGTACGCCAATCCCAATGTACACCAAATTCATCAAGAGAAACCAAATCAAAAATACTTTATTCTTTAACAATCTCCTCAACGATTTCTTGACCTTCAAACTCCCTCCATCTCTGTCACTTGGCATTTGCTTTTTGCTAGGAAACAAGGCACATGCAACTGCTAAGGGAATTAGAAAGCATGTTACTATTCTTAAGGTAGCTCGCCAACCGTATCGGCGTATAAGATATTCATACACCGGGCCATACCACATCGTGAAGCCACTATTTGCGCCAGTTACTAGTCCAGTTGCTGTGGCTAAATGTTTCTGAAAGCAAAATTGAAGCACTATGATACCGGGCATAAATATCAGGCTTGTCCCAGTGCCAAATATTACACCATATGTTAGATAGAATACTGGAATATCGTTGACAAATGAAGAGAGTAAAAGACCAAGGCAAAGTAGAATACTTCCAAGGAACACGACAGGACGGAAACTGTAGTATCGTGTAAGGATGCCACATACTGGACACATGGACATGTACCACATAACTTCAAATGAAGCAATCCACGCTACAGGAATAGAACGAAAAATTTCAGTAATAAAAAGCCGATTCACGATTGCATTGAAACTCCGAATATAAGCCTCGAATTTAAAAAATGCACAAAAGGATAAAATCTGTACACTACGTCGGCGTTTTGAGTGAAGAGCTTTCAGCTAGTTCAGACATTCAGTTAGTTCAGACATAAACCACTGCAGCTTATTGTAGAGTACAGTATCTTTACTGCACTTCCGCGTCTATAAACATATGGGGTCTTGAAAAGGACGACGAATAAGCAACGTCTGATGGGGCCCAGGCCCAGTGACGGATGGATCAAGATTGGGGTGGGGGGTATTACTGATCAAACTTGAAACATCTCAGTCGCTAATTAATCTTTTTTCCCTAAAGTTGTTGGCGAGCGGGCGAGTAAAACAATTCACGGACATACCATTTTTCGGTTGTTGTAATTTGTTAAATTTTTTGGTAATATTTTCGTAGATTTAGATTTTTAAAAAATAAATTGTAATATCTTAATCTTTGATTTTCAAAATTAAAATCTATATTTTTTATCTTTTCCATGATGGCAGGGGCCAACAAATTCTCGCCGACTCCCGCCCCTACCCCCAATATTTGTTCATGTGTAAATTTCTAAATAATCTAAGCTGATGTTCAGTAAATTATATGAACATCGACAGGCAAAAGTTGAAGTTAAAAGGGAAAGCAAGCTAAGAATGCCAAATTTTAGTTGCATTTCTAGGGTCAAAATTTTCTTGAGGCAGCCGATCCCCCTCCCTATACTTGATATAGCCCCGTATCCCATGGTATAGATGCCCGGTTTAAAGTGCAGACACACCGGACGCGATTGGACAACGCGACGCGATTTTTTAGTTTTTGAAAGTTAATAAAACAGCCAAATGAGCCAATGAAAGCAAATTTTAAAAGATATGTAGACCAAATAACTCAAAATGTTATAACGCCTTCTAAATATTTGGAAAATTTAAACTAGGATCAAAGTTATCGTTCAGTGAAAATCGAAAAATCGTGTCGCGTTGTCGAATCGCGTCCGGTGTGTATGGACCTTTAGATGGCGAGCTTTTCATGCGCCGAACCTAATCAAATTAACTGACAACTGAGTAGACGTCGGACTTAATTGTACCGTGCCAAAATAAAAGTACACTACATCAGAAATTTCAGTGCTAAATCGCTAAATTTCATGATCATGCAGATGATAATGTACGTTAAAAAAATTACCATATGCATATATAGGTTCGGCGCATGAAAAGCACGGCGTTTAGAGCCTGTCTGTTTCCACTTCAACCGTATCGTAACCTACCGTAGCACTTTCTTTTGTGTCGAAGTCATTAGTTCCACAGTGACTGCACTACAGCTCAGGAAACAAAGAAATACGCTACGTTTCGGTACGATACGGTTGAAGTGGAAAACAGGCTTAACCATAGATATCTTATATACACTAGATAGCGCATCTCTTTTATTAAAAATGAAGCCAAGAATATTCCAGCGGTTACCCCCATTTGAATAGATGGCGGCCATATTGGTCGTTCCCACTTGCTAATAAATGATTAAAAACAACAATAACTTTCATCATTTGAATAGTTTAAAAACGTATTTGGAATAGGGTTAACTTAATGTTTAAGTTCCCTGTTTAAGAAATAGAAAACATACGAATTTTCTCATTTCATGGGAACGACCTGAGACTGCAATCATGGCTTCAATTTTTGAATTGCAAAATAATTAGATGCACTATCTAGTGTATATAAGATATCTATGGGCTTAACCCATATCGAAGCTGTGTCGTATAATACGACATGACTTGCCGTATTTTGTGCCGTGTCGAACCTAATCAAAACTTGCCGAACTTAATTGAGTTAGATTTTAGACGCCGCTGTTCTTTTGTACTTTTAATATTAAGTACAACAGAAGAGCGACGTCTAAAATCTAATTATTAATGATTAAAATCATTAGGTTCGGCGCATGAAAATTTCGCCGTCTAAAGAGCAACAATTATTTTGTCTTGTGTCTGCACCTCGTTCTAAAAATCAGACTGTGGTAACTATCGACCCATCGGATAAGGTGTCAAATAATCGGATAAGGTACGTGTCAAATAATCCATAGACTGCCACTTTCCAATGGGCCTCCTGCCGTATCGTCTATTGATCTCTATTCATTAATTTTCTTACCAATTTTAGTCCTACTTTCGGCATGAAATTCTTGTGTCCAACTGACAAAGAGCACACCAACACAGTTGGTCATGCTCATCGCTGTGCCGACAAAAAAGAATGCGCCAAGACAAACAAGCCAACTTCGTTTTGAATCTTTCTTTATTACTCCGTTTTCTCGCGAATTGTTCTCCTGCCGTTGTTCTTGGATTACTTTTGCGGTTGCATCCACACTGTCGGCCATTTCTACAAATCAAATAAGTTTAGGTTTGAAATTACAATTTGAAATTATGATTTGTATTACAATACATACATTTACTTTGTTCCTTCATACGTTTGCAAATATACTCTGTCTCTCTCGCTGTATTGGTGGGTTTCTGATTGAGCATCGCAGGGTATAGCAGATGGCAGATGGACCGAAGAACTTGATATAGGAGAAATGTTGAAACTTAATTTAACAGCTGCAAGAAATCTCGTGTTTCTATTTCTTCGCCACGTGATTCAGGGCATTTTTTTAGAAATTACAACTACTGCATGAGGCTAAGTCTCAATGAGGGCCTTTTCCCCACACATTTAGGGGCCACGTCCATATTCATGTTGCCACGCATAACGTCGAATCGACGTTATGGGTGGGTGGGTCATGGGTGGGTTTTTACGTCAACTCCTCTACGTTATCTCACTTATCTCGTGGCAATTTGACTATTTACATCCGAACAGACCGAAGTTTAAGTTTGCCGTGCAACTTTTGCCAGTATTATATTTTGAACTAATAGAGTTCAAAACAAAGGTCGAAGTATTGAAGCAACATTTTTTCGTGTCAAATACCTGTTAATTTCATTCTCGTACCCAGAGCCCTTCTTACGCGCGGTGCGACGAGGGGCTCTGGCCAAATCCATATTCCTAACTGGCATCTGATTGGCTAGTTCTAACACTGGACATTGTTTTCATACCATGTTTTTATGGTATCCGGTTATGGATTTGGCCAGAGCCCCTCGTCGCACCGCGCGTAAGAAGGGCTCTGGGTACGAGAATGCTGTCAATTTGTGTTCGCGAATCGCGACATTTTTCTGCGATAAAACTTCACATTTTTTATAAGGCAAGTACAATAGTCAATAACTTTGAATTGAAGCCTCAGAATTTTAATGCATTTCTGAGATAAATTGATTGATTATATACCATATTTTATAAGAATAAGCAGTCAAAATACGACAGGGTATAAACGATCGACGTTAT